AACTGGACTTGGGACGCTACGACGTCTCGTCGTCCACAAGATCAAAGTCGTCGTCATCGTCGTCGTCGTGCGAGTCGCTCATGTCGAGCTGCGTCAGGTGATGTTCGAACGTGTCGACGCTGCGCTGGAGCAGGTCGACGGACGAGCCCATGAGAAACGTCAAGAGCGAGTCCGGCGCATTCCCAAGGCTCGGAAATAGCTCGTCGGGCGTTGCCTCGAGCTTCTCCTTCTCGGTCGCAATGCGCGACCGTTCTTCCATGATAAACTTGAAGGTATCTTCGGCCGACGAAAACTTGTCCGTGCTCTGCATGAAGCGGTCGACGGAAGACGACACAAGGTGCTGCCACTCGTTACTCGGGCCGGCGGTCGTCTGGAAGAGCGACGGCGTCGCAAACAACGATGCAGGCGCAGCCGGCTTGGGCGCGCCGAAGAGCGGGCTGGCGGCGAAGAGCGGGTTCGTCTCGGCCGGTCGGCTGCTGCTGCTGCTGCTACTGCTGGTGCTCGTTGACTTTTGGAAGAGCGGATTGCTCGAGGTCGACGACGATGTCTTTTGAAAAAGGGGGTTCTTGGACGGTGACGAAGTTTGAAAAAGGGGGTTGGTGCTCGGCGTCTTGTCAAAAAGCGGGTTTCCACTCGGCGACTTTTCAAAAAGAGGGTTTTTTGCGGGCGCCGTGTCGAAAAGAGGGTTCTTTGGCGTTGTCTGGAAGAGCGGGTTGGGCGTCGTGGGCGCTCTCTGGAAGAGAGGGTTGACGCCCTGGACGACGGGCGGAATTGGATCGGGCGCGAGCTGTACCATCGATGGCGTAAAGCCTGGCGTCTCGAGGAGCGTCGCGTTGGCGGCCGACGCGAAGAGCGGGCTCTTGTCGGTCGAGTACATAAAGTGGTTGATCGCTTTCCACACGAGCTCTTCGTGGCTGCCCGGCTCGACCTGGAGACTCGATGGCGGCGGCGGCGCCTTTTTTGCATACGGCTCGAGCTGCTTCCGGCGCTCCTTCTTGGCCCTCTTAAGCTTGGGGAAGGTCTTGCACTTGGGCTGCGGCGTGCGCACAATCATGTCGAGCAAACCTGGCACGCCACGCACAAAGCTTGCATGCGCATACGTCTCGACATCGTTCGCCTCGCTTTCCCAGTCGAAACCATGGTCGAGCAGCTGCTGGTGGAAGGCCGCGAGCTTCCCGCGAAAGTACTTGGGCAGGACGGTCGCATCGAGCCGCTCGCGGTCGAGGATCGAGAACTTGGTGCCATTCTCGTTCCACGCAATGATCTCGGGGCTCTCGTGGTCCAGGAGCAGATACAGCTTGCGCACGAAGCCGCTCGCGATGTTGCTCCCCGCCATCCTCAGGAAGTCTGGCACTGGCAGCATACCAGCGCTGGCACGGTATCCGGCACATTCCGGATAGCACGGCCGTTGCGACCAACAGAATGATGGTCGGACGGAGGCTCACGTGATTGGTCCAAAAATGGTGTTGACCAGCATTGGGGCGTCGGCGACTTGATAAGCTGGCTTTTACTTCGCACAGCTTGGAGAAGAGGTTGGAGCTTGGAGAAGCGGCGACTCATTGTGGGCGACGTACTTTAGCCCCTAGTATAAGCGTTATAGCACTGGCCATGAAATCCCACTTGGTTTTTTCACATTGTTTGCCCATCAAAGAATCCAGCACAAGTGTTGATTACTGTGCTTACGCTGCCATTGCGTCCTTCTCGCACAATCCTATGTGGTGCTTCCCAGAATGGGCCGATGCTGCTTTTCGATATCAAGGGAAATCTCGTGTTAAATAGCAGGGTTCTCAAATCGGGACATTGGACAGTACGGGACAGACTACAAGCAAGGTGGCGACGTCGCCTTAGACGCAGACGACCGAATGGCCGTTGAGCAATTGCCACGCGTCGGGCTGCGTCTCGAAACTGGTGTGCTTCTGGAAGAGCGGGTTGGTCGCTGTACGGCTCGTTTCGGATGATTGCAGACAGACGGCAGCCAGCGCCGACCAGAGTTCGTCGCCGCCCCGGGACGCTGTCGTTGTCGTGGCGCATGTACCGTAGGGGTGGTGACGCGTCTTTGTGACCTTGGAGAGGACCTTGCCGGTCGCTCGTTTCTTGGGCGCGAGCGGCATGGGGCAGTCGCGTGAGAGATCGCTGTGGCTGAAGCTCAATTCGTCACTGCAGTCAAAGCCGTGCTGGCACAGAAGCGCGCGGAACTCGCGGAGCGTCCGGAGGCGAAAGTACGTGGGCGCGATGTTGGCTTCGAAGCGAGGCGCGTCGTGCACGGCAAAGTGCTTCCCGCAGTCGCTCCACGCGACGATGCTTGGGCTCTCTTGGCTCAGGATGCGGTGGAGCTTCCGGAGGAGGCAGCTCGTGCTACTTGTGCTACTCGTGGTGCTTGTGCTGAGCATGTTGAAAAGTAGTCGGGTCAGCCGCCGCTTCTGGCTCGATTCAGTTGGGGCCAATTCACGAGTGATGGTCTGCGGGCGCTCTACACTTGCTGACTCTATACCATGGCCATCGAGAGTGCTGGTCAAGTGAATGTTGCGAATGCCGGATACATTATCCGGAGAAGCACTGGCTCTTCACGAGCGTTCGCGCTGGCGCCACAGAACGTTCGGTGCCACGCCATGACAACGTCAACATGATGGAGAAAACACGGTGCGAGATCTTGGGTGGATCGCGCAAGCACCTTCGCCTTGCATCAACCTCTTCTGCACCCGATGGAGCTACACCTAGACGGTTCTTGTGGACCGAGCCGTGTCGCTGATGGTGGTGCGAGATGCATCGCGCTCTTCTTTCATGTCGTCCTACGCACCGTGGCTGGCTGCCCGATGACGACGCTACTCTGTCCGCTCGACGACGACCCTGTCACCGTTCTATTTCGCAGGAGCCCTCTGGACGCGTGGTGGCCAGGATATGATGCCCTGTGCGTCATAGCAGAGAACAAGCTGTTGGTGCTTCTGCTTCAAAAAATGTGCGGACGGATATTATTACAAAACCGATTCTTCTACCCTGCAGTCGATATCAAGGGCTTGTCGGTTTCAAGTATCGGGGTTAGGGTTTCAGAGAGAGAAGAATTGACAGAAGCAACGAAAGAGCAATCTCTTTGTTGTTGAAATGAGTGTTCTCGTTATGTTACGGATTAAGGGTCCTATATCTAGGGTCGTCCTACCTCCAACCTAATATCTGGTGGGCACGAGTTACTAAATAGCAATCTCTTTTCGAACCAAGACAACAGAGCTCATTTTTGGTTCCCCGTGTCTATCTATTAATTGAATAAGGACTTTTTTGCGCGAAGCGCGGCACGAGCGCAGCGAGGGCACCCGGCGGTAGCCGGGCCCGTGCGCTAGCACGGCAACGTCATTGGAGCTCTAAAGAATGTGTTTTGACGCGCGCAGCGCGTCGTGAAGGGTCCAATTCGTTTAAGTACGTCTGGCCTCCAAATGTCCTCCTTTTTGACTTGGCGTTTGTAGCAACGTTACAAGTGCGTAATCGTACTTAACCGAACAGCGCACACTACGAGCGTAGCGAGTGCATCCGGCGATAGCCGGAGTCCGCGCGGTAGCGCGGTAATGGCATATGTCATTTGTATTTGCCATAGCGTACTTAACCGGACACCTTTGGACTTGATCCGCGCGCAGCGCGCCACGAGCGAACCGAGTGCATCCGGCGATAGCCGGATCCCGCGCGGTAGCGCGGTTTATGGCATATGCCGTGGGCAAGCGCAGCAACTGCTCTTGGCATCGATGTGCGCAGCGCGAGCCACGAGCGCAGCGTGTGCACCTGCGGTCGTGCACAGCAGTGCGGTAGGGTAGTGTGCGCGCGCTTGGCCACGATGTGGCGGCGCGGCGCAGAGAGGCGGTCGAAGACTGTGGTCATGGTGATGAGGCACGGTAGGGGCTTATGCCATGTGCGATCGTAGTGAGTGCATGTGGCATCGGTGCGCCAACCACGAGTGTAGCGTGTGCATCTGCGATCGTGCACGGCAGTGCGGTAAGATTATGTGGGTGATAGTGCAATGGATGAGTGTATCGATTGCAGTTGGTATTGAATTGAAATTGGCGTGAAGCACATAATAATAGTTAGTAGAAGTTCCGGCCATGGTCGCGACGCCAGTGTCGGGCGCGCGCGTGCGGGGGTCGCGGCAGCAGCGACTGCGATGGAAGAAGCCAAGGAGCTGCGATAAAAGTTTGCTGCGGGCGACGGCTGAGACGCAAGGTCTATGCGGCTGTACTTTCTGGGAAATCACGCGTGTAGAACGGCCTGCAACTACGCGACGAAGTCATGGCACTGCATCACGACACTGGTAGAATAGCTGGGCCGGGCAACGCGAGTACATAGCTGATTTGACGCCATTCGCCCTGCAATGTTGATGTGATTTGCGTGATGCTGCGGCAGACTGTTGTGCAAGATGCGTCCTGCTTTGCAGCATTGGACCCGATTGCTGAAACGATGTGAAGGCTAATAGACCACAACTTGGCCGCTGCACCAGCCTCACCGCCACCCAAGAAAACAATATTTGACGTCGACGCTGCTGCAGCTCTATAGAGATCAATCTTTTGGACGAACCCACCAGGTGCACCGTAGCGCAGCGGAGGTTGCACCGCAGTGTGGCTCCCGGCCGAAGGCCGTTGGCGTTGCAAAACGGCGCACCGCAGCAAAGCGGAGGTCGCGTTCGGCGCACGCGCCGATCACACATTTGCCATGTGAATGCGTGTCTGCATTGGGCAGGGTGTGCTGAACGTACGTACATTGGACATGAAACCGAACACCAATGATTGTTGGCATCCACACCGCCCATGCTACGACACCGACGCACCGCTAGATTGCATGCTGCCCGATACCAAACCGAAATCAATTGGCCCCACTGCACCCTGCACAAACGATGTACACAAACAAAACTACTGCGCATGCTACGCAGAAAGACCGCTAGATGGCCCACCGGCCCAATGCCCCATCTAAACCGCAAAGCTCGACCACGCCCTGCTCCAAGAAAACACGAGGTGTGGGGCAGGGTACGTTTAACGATGAACGCAAATGCACATGATTATATTTTGATGGCGTCCACACAGTCCAAGCTACGACACGAACCCACCGCTAGATTGCACGCTACCCCAAAACAAAACCAAAGAGCTCCTGCCCCAAGAAAACACGAGGTTTACCCTAGTTTTTGAGTTATACATACACGCATTTGCTGGTGTTTTACATGCACGTGCAGTCCTTTTGCTTCTTGCCGTCCGGGACGTTGGAGCTCTGGCGCTGGAAAAGCCGGTCGCCAAAGCTGCGCATGCGCTTCGGCGGCGTCGTCGCGCCGTGGGCAGGAGCCACCGGTGCGCTATGGAGCGACGAGCGCAGCGGCTCGTCTTGGAGAACGTGGGGCTCACTCTGCGTCGAGGCGCGGACGCTGTCGGAGCGGTCTTCGAGCGAGAGACCAAACGAGAGGTTAATTGGCGGTGGCAGTGCGTCGACGGGCTTTTCCGACGGCTCAATGCTGGCGGGCACCTCGTCCATGCCATCCGGCGACGGCAATTCAATGGAGCTGCTCCGCGAGCTCTCTTCACGCAACGTTCGTCGCGCCTTCATGAGCTTGGCGCCAAACTTGATCTTGAGCTTCGTCTAGCATCGTTCATCATTAAACATTGCACAATTGGCCTTGCATAGAAATGTATACCATGAGAATAAAGTTGTTGACGGGCGTGAACGCGAGGCTGATTTCTTCCGGCGACACCTCGACGATGGACGCGCGCTCGTGGTGCACCGCCGCCGCGAGCCACGGATGCTGCAGCAGCTCCGAGAGCGAAATGCGCGTCGACGGGTCCTTGTCCAAGAGGCGCGTGAGCACTTGGTCGCAGAGCGGGTCGCTGCCGGTGGAGGGCAGCACAAGGGGATCTTCGCGAATCGACTGCATAATGGCGAGAGCGCCGCCCTCAAGGTGCTCCTTTGTAGCCCCAAACGGCAGCGTTCCGTACAGCATCGCATACGCCGTGACGCCGAGAGCCCACACGTCGACCTTGAACGGGTCGAAAGCCGCCCCGACCGTGCACTCGGGGGCGAGATAGTGATACGTGCCTTCCGTGTTCTTGAGCTCCGTCGCCATGTCGTCGTCGGTAAACATGTGCGCGACGCCAAAGTCGCTGAGCTTGTAGCTCGTCTTGTCGTTGGTCATGAGCACGTTCTACGCTGATGCTCAGCGAGCGTCTTCGAATCAAATCATAGAAGTCTACCTCGGGCTTGATATCGCGATGGCAAATTTGGTTCAAGTGCACTACGCATCGTTCGTTGTCAAGCGAGAAGACGGGCATGCCAGTGTACAGTATTCGAGCGCCAGAGCCATGTCCACGACGCATGCTTGGACGATCGCCATCGGCGCTTGGTCTTGCGAGCCAATGTACTTGTAGCGCATGGTCGTCGGGTCCCAGTCCATGACCTGGCCACCGGTGACGAGCTCGAGCACGAGGAACATCTTGTCTTGCGTCTCGGCGTCGATCACCTACACGAACGACGCGTTGGCACATGAATGCATCAATACGCAAGGTACTTCATGCAGATGCGTGAGGTTGGGATGGCGCAGCTTCTTCATGATCGCAATCTCCTTCTGCACCTTTTGGAAGGCGTTGGACGCGACCATGCGTCCGTCGACCTTCTTGAACTCGCGCTTGCGCTTTAGGAAAGACTTGTTGAGGATCTTCATGGCCTGCGCGGATGTATGGTCCAAGCACATGCAAGCAGAGCAGTCGTACATATTGCGTCGTGACGCCCCCCGCCGTCTTTTCGCACAGGTACACCTTGGAGTATGCGCCTTCACCGAGGAGCGCGCCGATCGTGTAGTCGTTGACCTGCTCCGGCGCGCCCGAGTCGCTCTCCTGGACGTCAGCGGTAGCCGTCTCCTTGACCTCCTGCTCGGCGCCGCTGCTCGTCGCCTTCACATACCGCGTGTCAACTGACCCCGTCGGTTCCATTTCCATGTTTCCAAACCCAATCGCGAATGGCAGCTCCCTCTAAAAAGACATACACTCCCGCCAGTCGTTCCGGTTGATCACGACGACATTCGTTTATAGAGGTTTTCCGTCCCCGCAGCGCGATCATGCAAAAGACGCGCGGGCAGAAATTTCACGCGCAGCGGGACGCGAGCGACGCGCAAGCCTCAAAATTGGAGCCAATGAACGACCCGGTACGTAGCGTACTTGGCGCGGCTTGGCTGCGATCGATTCAGATCTGGCAAGTTCCACCCAGATCTGAGTCGCCAAAGTCGTCGCGCACCTGCCCAGGCGACGGTCCGACGGCCCTGTTTGCTTGGCATCGAGGCGTGGCGTGTCGAATAGAAGAGCAGTTCTTCCCACTTTCTCGTTGCAGTACGTGGCAGCGTCAGACAGGCCGGCGGAATGTCGGCTGCAGAATGTATGTGTTTCCCGCAGACAGGTGTGGCGTGCGTGCGAGTCGGTCGCGTCCAATGCCCGAGCCGACGCTGGACCCGGTGCTGCGGAAGCGGCTCTACATACGCTACAAGCAGCGCGCGTACCGGCAGAAGATCGTGTCCGAGATCGAGGCGCTGCAGGCCGAAGCCGCCGTCCTCGAGCGCCACGTCGCCCGCTTGACCGCGAAGAAGCAGCTCCTGAGCTGGAAAGACGTCGCGTCTGGCCTCCACGACGACGTGGTCATTGCGCGCCGCTCGAAGGCGATGCTGCAGGCCAAGCGCAAGTCGTATCTAGATATCGTCACAGCCATGACCAAATGGATTGCAATCCAAAAAGGGATCCAGGTACATATACATGTCAACGTTCGCATGCGGCAAGCTCGGTCCTAGACGCCGCCATCGCTTCGACCAACGTGGCGCAACGTCACACTGGTCAGCAATGCCACGTCGCGCAAATTGGGCTTTGACTGGATCACGAAGAACGTGCATTTTCACACGGACAAGATGCTCGAGACGTTTGGCTTTCCGTCGCCGCGAGCACCGCAGTCGGTGCTCGACTTCTACGTCGACACGGCCGACGCCGAGTGCTTGCAGTATGTGCTGCGCTGCCAGCAGGACCTTCCGATCCCGATCGAGTACGTCGTACCGGCGATCCGAGACAACGTCGTCTCGTTTCTGATTGGCGCGCTCTGGGACTATGAAGGGCGCGAGATGCAGGAAAACGTCGCCGAGCCGCTCGACATGGAGGTAGTAGTGCTATGCATCAAGGCACGCTGAAGCGTCTCTTTACCGTGTAGCTGCTGCAAGAACCCAACGATCGGATGCGCTACACCCGCAACGTGCTCTCCAAGGACGAGTCCATCTACTACCTCACGCGCGAGTTCTCTTCTCACAACCGGGTCACGTTTGTGGGCCAAAACATCCATGAGGACGAGCTCTTGCCCAAGAGCCAGCGCCAATGCAACCGCAACTTTTGGTTCGTCCTCGACCGCCTCGGGCCCGCGATGACGCGCCTCCGTGTGCTCTACACTACGTCGCATTACTTTACAGCCCATGGGTACGTCTCGCTGGACGACGAAGCGCGCTACTGGGGCTGCGACCTCTCGACGACGCCGGACGCCAAGAAGGCAGCGGTGTTTCATCGCTATGCCACGGACGTTGGCACCGAGTTTGCGCGGCTTGGCGCCCAGCAGATCGCCCGCGGCTTTGGCGGTTGATTGATACGTTGATACAAAACACGACGGTTACATGACGTGGCATGCCGGGTCGGCGCGTCCGCAGACAGGGATCGCGGTGTCGGACACTTTGCGCGTGCTTCGTCTCCGAACTGCGTTGACGCTTTCAGTGATCGCGGTTGCTGTTGCGGTGCTGATCTCGTTTTGCTTGGTCGCGAGGACCGTTCGCGCGCGCGCGAGTTTGGCGTGCAGCGAGCGTTTGAGTTTGACCATGAGGAAGAGCTCATACGACGCCGTAAACGCTTTCGCCATCTCGTCACTTGTGACGGTAATCGTGTCGATCGGATTCGGCGCCTTGCGCGCCGCCGCGGTCGTGATCCACGGGTGCTCCTGCACTTGCACAATCTAGGCACACTCTTGACACAAAAAGACATCGCTATCGCATCATACGCTGATGCGCGTCGCAGGCGACTTGTCGAGCAGCTGCGTGAGGAGGTTGTGAAGTAGAGGGTCAATCTCGTGGGGCAACACCAGCGGGTCTTCCCGGATCGCGCGGAGGACGCCCGCCGGACCGTCCGTGACGGTCATGCCGAATGGCAAGGTCCCAAACACCATGGCAAATACAGTGACACCAAGGGCCCAAATATCCACTTTGAACGGATCGTAGGCGTAGACGACAGATGGATGGATCGTCGTCGGTCACTGCAGAAAGCTACTGTGCGTACCGGTGGTGCACTCGGGGGCGAGGTAGTGATACGTGCCTTCCGTGCTTTTGAGCAGCGTCGCGTGGTTCGACTCGGAAAACATGTGCGCGACGCCAAAGTCGCCAAGGATGTAGTCGCTATCGTCCGTCACGAGAACGTTCTATTGACGACAACATCTCCATCTTCTCGCATGGGACAATGTTTCAAAAGATGCAATACCTCGGGCTTGATGTCGCGGTGGCAAATGTGGTTCCGGTGCACTATGGCACCATTCCTCTTCGTCAAAACAAGAAGAGCAACGACAGCGTACGGTAGTCGAGGGCCCACGCGAGGTCTGCGAGGCAGTCGTGTACGACACGGAGCGGCGTCACGCTTCTCTCGTCGAGTGACGGGCCCGGCTCGTGCGTATACCGGTACAACATCGCGTGGTTGTCAAAGTCCATGAGCTGGCCGCCCGAGATGACGTTGAGAATCAAGTAGAGCTTGTCGTCTTCGGGCGAGTCGATGACTTCGTGCAGCCGCGTCAAATTCGGGTGGCGCAGCTTTTTCATGATGGCGATTTCCCTTTGCACTTTCTACGCCCGTTGGTTGACAGGGAGCGCATTCCTTGTCGTATGCGCACCTGGAACGCGTTGGTCGCGACCATGCGGCCCGCGACGCGCGTGAACTCTTGCTTGCGCTTCAGCAGCGACTTGTTGAAGACTTTGATCGCAAACTCTTTTGGCTCGTCGTCCTCGAGCTTGGTACACTTGTAGACCCGCGCAAACGCGCCGCGTCCGAGCTCTTCGTGCACCACGTACTCGTTCACGCGCTGCGGCGCGCCGTGCTCGTCGACCTCGACGTTCGTCGCGTCCTTCTCCACCACCGTCGTCGTCGTCGTCGTGAGCGCAGTCCCGCGCTTCGAGTTGTCTCGGGCGAGCGCGCGATCGGAACTCGCCCGCATGACGCGCCGACTGAAAGTGGCACCGCCTGGCTATTCCCGTCCGGCGGTAACCGACGCCGAAACCGCCAATCTAATCAAGGCCGTTGCCGTCATGTCTCGGTGCTGGCATGGAATGATGGAAGCTTCGTCCCATGCCTCTATAATAGTCGTCAATCATCTGTAGTCTATGTATCTCGACCGGAACAATCGACTACTTGGAAGGATCGCGTGGAAGAGTCGGCTTGTACACGGAGAAGGATCAAGTCGCCTTGGGTGCAAAGGTACTATTGATGGGTATATAATTTACAAAGCTAGTCATATGTATATAAAGGAAAGGGATGCAATCTTCTTAGCAGATCGACATCTTGCGCGCGAGGAGGTTCTTGCCCGTGCTCCAGCCGACGGTCGGCATCGCGTAGTACTCGCCAATGTGGCAGATCTCGAGCTTCTTGACCTTCTCCATCGCGGTCGTGAGCATGATCGCGCACTTGATGTTGTTGATGAGCGAGATGCCAAAGTCGACCGACGCGCGGCGGATGAGGTACCCGTCCGAGGCGCCCTGGCGGTTCCCAGAGTCGGGCACGTTGATGACGAGCTCAATGTCGCCGTTCTTGATCGCGTCGACGACGTTCGGGCCCTTCTTGGCGCTCGGCTTGAAGAGGACTTGGCACGCGACGCCGTGCTGCTGGAGGTACGCGGCCGTGCCGGGCGTGCCGTACAGCTTGTACTTGAGCTTGTCGAGCATCTTGCACGACTCGAGGAACTCGTGCTTGATGTCGTCGTTGCCGATCGAGATCAGAATCGACTTCTTCTCCTTGGGCATCTTGAAGCCGGCCGAGAGGAGCGCCTTGAGGAACGCCTCGTGCATGTCCGTGCCAAAGCAAGCAACTTCGCCCGTCGACGCCATCTCGACACCGAGCGTCGGGTCCGCACCCAGAAGGCGCGTGAACGAAAACTGCGGCGCCTTGACGGCCACGTAGTCAATGTCAATGAGCGCGATCGGGACCGGCTTGACGACGAGGCCGAGCATCGCACGCGTCGCGAGGTTGATAAAGTTGAGGTCGAACGTCTTGGAGATGAACGGGAACGTGCGCGACGCGCGGAGGTTGCACTCGATGACCTTGACTTCGTTCTCCTTGGCCATGAGCTGGATGTTGAACGGACCGGTAATGTTGAGCGACCGCGCGATCGCGCTCGCAATGCGCTTGACCTGCTTGATCGTGCCGACGTAGAGCTTCTGCGCCGGCAGCACGAGCGTCGCGTCGCCCGAGTGCACACCGGCGTTCTCGACGTGCTCGGAGATGGCGTAGTTGAGGATCTGGCCGTCCTTGGCGACACCGTCAAACTCGACTTCCTTGGCGTTCAGAATGAACTTGGAGATGCAAATGTTGCTGCTGCCGCCGACGTTGGGCGAGTTGAGGTAGTCGCGGAGCTCTTCAGCGCACGACGTGACGACCATGCCAGCACCCGAGAGCACATAGGACGGGCGCACGAGCACGGGGAAGCCGACGTCCGAGGCAAAGTTCTCGGCCGACGCCACGTCCGTGACTTCCGTCCACTTGGGCTGGTCGACGCCGATCGTGTCGAGGAGCGCCGAAAACTTGTTGCGGTCTTCGCAGCGGTCGATCGACTCGGCGGACGTGCCGAGGATGCGGACGCCCGACTTGGAGAGCGGCGTCGAGAGGTTGTTGGGGATCTGGCCGCCGACCGAGACGATGACGCCGTGCGCGTTCTCCCGGTCGTAAATGTCGAGCACGCGCTCAAAGCTGAGCTCTTCAAAGTACAAACGGTCCGACTCGTCGTAGTCGGTCGAGACCGTCTCCGGGTTGTAGTTGACCACGATCGCCTTGTAGTTGAGCTCGCGGATCGTGCGCACGGCCGAGACGGCGCACCAATCAAACTCGACCGACGACCCGATGCAGTAGGCGCCGCAGCCGAGCACCATGACGCCGTGGTCGTCCATCGGAATGTCGTCCTCGGCGCCAGAGTACGTCATGTAGAGGTAGTTGGTCTGCGCCGGGAACTCGGCCGCCAGCGTATCGATCTGCTTGACGAACGGGAGCACGCCAAACGACTTTCGGCGGTTGCGCACAATGAGCTCCGTCGACTTGACTTCGGTCGCAATCTGACGATCCGAGAAGCCGTACGTCTTGAGCGTCTTGAAGTGCGACGCCGTGAGCTTGTCGAGCGCGCCAAACGCCTTCATGCCCTTGCGGAGGCTCGAGATATGGTGCAGCTTGGAGAGGAACCAGCGGTCAATCTTGGTGAGCTCGTGCACCTTGTCGACCGAGTAGCCCGCGTCAAGCGCCGCAATGACGTAGAAGAGGCGCTCGTCCGTCGGCTTCTTCAGGTTCGCGTCAATTTCGGCCGTCTTGGTCGTGTAGTCGACCGGGCGACCGTTGAGACCGTCCAAGTTCGGGTTGACCATGCGCACCGCCTTCTGGATGCACTCCTCAAAGTTGCGCCCGACGCTCATGACCTCGCCGACACTGAGCATGGACGAGCCGAGGTCGTTCGAGACGCGAGAGAACTTCTTGAGGTCCCAGCGGGGCATCTTGACGACGCAGTAGTCGAGCGACGGCTCAAAGCACGCGGTCGTCGTCTTCGTGATCGAGTTCTTGATGTTGACGAGGTCGATGCCGAGCGCGATCTTGGCCGCCACGTACGCGAGCGGGTAGCCCGTCGCCTTGGACGCGAGCGCCGACGAGCGCGAGAGGCGCGCGTTGACTTCAATGATGCAGTAGCGCTCCGAGTGCGGGTCAAGCGCATACTGGATGTTGCACTCGCCGACGATGCCGAGGTGGCGCACGACCTTTTGCGCGGTTTGGCGGAGCTTGAAGTACTCGGCGTTGCTGAGTGTCTGCGACGGCGCGACGACGATCGAATCGCCCGTGTGGATACCGAGCGGGTCAAAGTTCTCCATGTTGCAGACCGTGATGCAGTTGTTCTTGGCGTCGCGCACGACCTCGTACTCGATTTCCTTCCAGCCGCGGAGGTCCTGGTCGATGAGGATCTGGCGCTCCGCGACCTTGGAGCCCGCGCCAAAGAGCGCCTTCTTCGCGAGCGTCGTGAGCTCTTCGTCGTTGGCGGCAAAGCCCGAGCCGAGACCGCCGAGCGCAAAGGCCGCGCGGACGAGCACCGGGTACCCAATCTCGTTGGCCGCAGCGATGGCCTCGTCGATCGTCTTGGCCGGCTTGCTCAGCGCGATGGTCTCGCCAATCTCGGCAAGGCGCTCGCTGAAGCGCTCGCGGTCTTCCGTGTCGATGACGACCGAGATCGGCGTGCCCATGACGCGCACGTTGTGGGCTTCGAGCGCGCCGCTCTCCCAGAGCTCAATGCCGACGTTCAGCGCGGTCTGGCCGCCCATCGAGACGAGGATGCCGTCCGGGCGCTCCTTCTTGATGATCTCGAGCACCGTCGACGCGCGGACCGGCACAAAGTAAACCTTGTCGGCGAGGCCCTTGGACGTCTGGACCGTCGCAATGTTGGGGTTGACAAGGATGACCTGGATGCCTTCTTCCTTGAGCGCCTTGATGGCCTGCGAGCCCGAGTAGTCGAATTCACCGGCTTGGCCGATGCTGAGACCGCCAGATCCGAGGAGGACCACCTTGCGGTACGTCGGGCGATCGTAGAGCGACGTGTCCATGAGCGTGAGCTTGGACGGCTGGCCCTTGACCTTCTCGAGGAACATGTCGAAGAGGAACGCCGTGTCCGTGGGGCCGCCGCACGCTTCGGGATGGAACTGCACCGAGAAGAACGGCTTGTGCTCGTGGATGATACCTTCGTTCGAGTGGTCGTTGGCATTCATGAAGAACGTCTTCCAGCCCGCGGGCAGCGACGCCGTCTCGACGGCGTACCCGTGGTTCTGCGGCGTAATGTAGCAGCGCGTCGTGCGCATGTCAATGCACGGCTGGTTCATGCCGCGGTTGCCGTACTTCATCTTGTACGTCTTGGCGCCGGCCGCGAGCGCGAGGATCTGGTTGCCGAGGCAGATGCCAAAGATGGGCTTGATGTCGTCTTCGTCGCGGTTGATGGCCCACCGGATCGAGTCGATGGTCTTCTGCGCCATGAGCGGATCGCCGGGGCCGTTCGAGATAAAGATACCGTCGTACTCGAGCGTGCTCTTCTCGAGGTCATAGTCGAACGGCACGACCGTGAGCTCGACGCCGGCACCCGCGAGGTACCGCACAATGTTGTGCTTCATGCCGCAGTCGAACGCGAGGATTTTGGGCGACGCGCCCTTGTTGAAGACTTGAATCTGCTTGGGCGAGACCTTGGCGACGAGGTTCGTCTTGTTCGGGTCTTCCATCTTGATGGGCATGGACGCAAACTCGATCTTGCCGAGCATCGAGCCGTGCTCGCGGATCTTCTTGGTGATCATGCGCGTGTCGAGGCCAAAGAGCGCCGGCACGTTGTGCGACTTGAGCCAGTCGCCGAGCGACGTGACCGCGTTCCAATGCGAGTGCTGGAACGAGTACTCGGAGACAATGAGGCCCGAGATCTGCACCTTGGACGACTCAAAGTTCTTGGGCAGGCCAAACTGGTCGAGCTCCATGGACGGCACGCCGTAGTTGCCGACCAGCGGGAACGTGAGCACGAGGATCTGGCCAGCGTACGACGGGTCCGAGAGCGCCTCCGGGTACCCGACCATGCCCGTGTTGAAGACGACTTCGCCGCTCATCGAGTTCTTGGCGCCAAACGAGCAGCCCTCGATGGCCGTGCCATCGTCGAGGAAGAGCGTCCCGCGCTCGACGTCGTCGGCGGCCTCGAGGGCGTTGACGACGTTGGCGCGCTTCGCGGCCGTGGGGCTCGCCGCGTCGGAGGCGTCGGAGGCAGAGCGCTTCGTGCGGGGCATTGTGTGATGTGAGGAGTTGGCCGCAAGTTGGAGAATGAAAAGGAAACGAAAAAAGTATCATCGGCCAACGCCCGTGGAAATCTTTCGTGCTGCAACACGATCCGGATTTCGCCTAATTAGGATCGCAGCCCCACGCCACACGTGACGGAGCGCATCCCCTACCCCGTCGGAGAAGCCTGCGTAACGCGATGTGCGATTATGCAACAGCTTTGTGGGCCAATGAAAACGCGCAAAAAGCAAAGCCGGCGCCTTTAACAAGCGGAAATCACTGGCCACCGTGCCTTCCCCTTTTCCTCTGAAAACAAATACACGAAACGAGGACTTGTCCTGGTTTCGATCCGACACGTGAAATGACAATGGCAATCGGAAAAACCCCTTTTTGCCAGGATCGAACCCAGGACCAGTTGCCATTTTTTATGGCGCTCTACCACTGAGCTGTTCCTCGTATTCTGCAAGAGGTGCAATTGGGTACGTACCATAGACCGACACAAAATATATTTAGGGACCTTAGACGCAAACAATAGCAAATGACAGGCTCACTGCATCTCACCAAGGTTGCGTTGTCATTATGGCACAAGGTGCCAATCGTAGAAAGCTGCTGTGATGCCTAATTTGGCTGATATAGGGCCCAAGATGACACCGAGCAGTCCCTCCGATGCCCCTGGAAACGAAGAAACGAGTGGATGTCACGGCCAGGCACAAGCTGGTGGCGCAGAGGGCCCATGCAGTGGCACCTCGCGAGTGCCAATCACGTCGTAGGTAGGACAAAAGGAGTGCGCCATATCACCCGCTGCACACGTATGCAGATGTGGCGTGCGTGGGTACATTTGGAATCAAGAACCCGTATCCGAAAATGTATCTGGAAATGCGATGGGCAACAGGCAAGGGCGATGAGGCCGGCGGACTTCAAGTAGCCTCGTGAATCGTCAAACGGTCCGCTTCGGCGGCCAATTATAGCCATCGCAGTCGGCCGACCAGCCTCCGCCGCAACCGCACGAGCAGTTGCGTCCCGAAGATTGGGGCCGTGCCCTAGTTTAGAATGATTTAGTCTCGGCCAAAGGATTGATCGTCAACCGCTCGGAACGGCCTGCACTGTACGTACACGATGTGTGGGTCAGATTGGTCGGCTTTGATTAGTCGACCTTGGGAAGATGTTTCGACAACCACGATGTGTACCCGGTACCACTGCTACATGGAACCGTGATGTTCCACCGCGTCGCCTCCATGGTCCTCTTCCAAACAAGAGTCGTGCGACTCTGCTTCGCGAGCAATGTGAGCTTCTTCGTTCGACCGACAGGAGACCCGTCACTCACCGCCGCGCACGTGCTATCAGACGGCTGGCATGCTTTGGCCCTGTCGCAGGCACAAGGTCGGACGTTCGTTGGCGGGCATTTACCTCCACGAGCCCGGCCGCTACGATGCGTTGCGATGTACTGGCGCAGGAGATGGACATCGGGCGTCGCGTGCAAGCATCGCGTACGAACACGTTCCTCAGGCCAATGCGCTGGAATGGATGTCTATCGAATCTTGTATCTCCGTCCCCGGTGTGCACGCCGGGACCGCGCCGCTTTGACTCTACCTCGAGAGTGTGGGCAACTGCTCCCGCCTTGCTCTCCCAGGCCCAATTTCCATCCAACGCATTGAGCAATCGAATTTATCAGCCCAGGTGGCAAATATTTATATGAAGTCAAGCAAAGCGCAAAACAAAGATCAGACTCGTCATCGCGACGTTCTAGTTGGCCGGGAACGTGCAGTTGACTTTGGCAAGGAACGCCTTTTCGTCCGCCGAGAGCTGCGTCGTATCGAGGTACTGGCCCGTGATCTCCCTATAGAGAATGAGCTCATCTCCTCATTGTTCTTGGAGCTGCATACAGTGTCTTGAGGCGCTTGAGCCCAAACACCTCCTTTGGGATCCAACGCACGCCTGCATTACGGAGCACGAGCGACTCGATGTGCGGCGGAAAGACGTGCTCTTGCAGCGATAGCTTGACGTTCTCGATCCACCTAGACATATCGAGTGCGCTATCTGCCGACAGCATCGTAAACATACAAGGACTTGAGCTTGGACTTTGTGAATGCGCCGTCGAGGAGGCTCAAGTCGTACTTCTCCGGGTTGTAGTTTTTCAAAATGCTAATACAAACAAATGAGCGCCGGAATGAGAGAGAGACTGCCATACAGCTCTGAAATGTTGGCTGCACGATAGCCTTGGACGACACGGATGGGCTCAGAGCGACCAAACGAGCCCGTGGCACCGCGAATGCCAATCGCGTACGAGCCATTCACGGCCCAGTTGTTGTTGAGGCACTTGAGAGCGCAGCCTGTCTCGGCCGTACTGTTGACACACGTCCCCAGCGACGACTGTTCGCACTTGAAGTCGCTGAGGCTGGTCGGGTAGTAGACGCAGCTTTGCGCCTTGGCGCCACCTTGGAGCGGGCAGATGTTGCCACACAGCGCTGGCTTGGACGTGAGGAGATGGCCGTCCGGGCACGCCATCGCGGATGCAACAAAGGTCAAGAGGAGGAAAGCCGTAGCGCGCATGATGAGGCAATTAGAGATATGACCATGCGTGGGAAGGTAGCTAGACGAACGTACTAGTCTTCCAAGATGGAACGGTACTGCCCTCGAGCGATACCGAGGACGCAGTAGAAAGAACGTCTTGCTCATCGAACAACACAATCAGCCTATGCGGGGGCTTATATGGGCTGGGTGCGCGGGAGCATTGACGCTGGAAGAAGACACGGCGGGTTCGGGCCAAGGCTCCGTGACATTCATTGACCCTTAGTCAAGCGCGATCGACGGTGCAGGGTCTCGAACCATCCGAATTTGGACAACTTGCTAGGATATTGTCATTTGAACAATGCGTCCCAGTACAAGAAATACACACGGCGCACGAGCGCGGCAGATACCACTGTACTTGAAATGACTGAAATTGGAGGATTGGCGTGTCCTTGAGCCATCGGCATATTGATTGTATCGGTCTATACATGAACGTGTTTCGCGTTATCTTCGTGGTTACAAAGAGTTCGCACTTGTAGAGACTAGCAATCTCATTCTTCATTCGCTCACCGGGCCGTGGCTGCGTCTTCTTCTTCTGTTGTCGCCCACGGGCGCTTGCAGCCGCGGGTGACGCCCATGACGACGAGCTCCGTAAATTCCTTCCGGGCTTCGCGATCGACGGCAAAACTACGCAGGTTGTTGAGGTCCTCGAGAGACGCCAGCGACTGAGGCGGCGTCAACTTCTGGAGGTCGCGGTGCAGGACGATCGGCAACGTGATCTTGGTGCGGCCTAGAAAACGGGGCGCCTCGGGAGCGGGAAAGAAGCGGGCGGCGGCAATGTTGGCAGGGACGTCTTTTTTCAGGCGCAGCACGTGACCCAGCAGGCGCCAGTGCTGGCGGGCGACGATCTCGCTCAGCGGGACGCTGCTGGAGCGCTTTTGTATTGGTATCTACAAAGAAATGTACGATATAGTACTCGACAATTCCCGGTACATGTACTGACAAAAGCGATATTGGTACAGGCGAGATTGCCACGCAATGCCATGCCATGTTGTCTGTTCCACTGCTCAGGGCGTGTGATGCCGGCTTCAAAAGTGACGCAACGATCGCAG